GGCCTGCCGCCTTCAGCGGGACGGGTCACCTTCCCCAACCCCAGTGTCCTTGTGTGGTGTGAGGGTAATGAGGGAAAGGGCTCAGCTCCTGGAGCCCCACAAGGATGGTTGCTGCTCCTTCCCCACCCTCACCCCGCCCAGAGGCTGGGGTCCCCCCTTCCCAGTGCATCCGCACACGTGGTGTCAGTTCCCGGAGGTGGGAGTTTCTGCGGGGGCCTTTTGGGTATGGAGGGGGTAGTGTGAATGCATGTCTGTGCAGACGCCAGAGCCCTCTCTCTCGGTTCCTGTTTCAGACTGACCCAGGAATCCCCCATGTGGTGGCTGCCCGGGCCTGGCCGTTTTCTGAACATGGCCCTGGAAATCAGGGGGGCTGCTATCAGTTTTGGGGTCTGCCCCAGTCCCTGGGGCCAGGCTCTGGGCAGACGATGTGACTTGAGGAGAGCTGTGAGACCTGTGGTGAGGGCTAGCTGCGGACTTGTTCAGGTGGGGTTTGTTTTGGTGGCGCACCACCTACCTTGCTGTGGGCAGGGTTTCTCAGTGCAGCTGGCCTCCTGGGCCCAGGATTTCAAGAGGGAGTATCTCCTTGGTGTCAGCACCCTGGGCTTGGCGGAGGCAGCTGGACCCCACATCCTCACGTGAGTGTCGTCGCCAACCGGGGCCAGGGCCACCTGGGGTAGGCAGGACCTGAGCAGCAGCCGCCCCTTCCCCGAGTCCTGTGTCTTTCCTTCCAGCAGAGCAGGATGGATGGATGTAAGTGGACGTGGCAGGAGCACTGTGCTCCAGTCATTAAGGACACACGGACGCCCATCTGTCCAGGACATCTGGCTGCAGGCTCAGACCTGGCTGGTGTGATTCCTGCTCCTTTAGGAAAGTCGTTTGGCATGTGGTTTCCAGAAGTGTCTTAGACTGGGACATGTGCCAGGGGAGAACTCCAGAGGAGGAGGGTCCGATGAGGCGGCAGAACCACTGGAGACCCCGAAGGGCCACACTGTCATATAGAGCCAGGCTGGAAGGACATGAGTGAGCAGAGACCATGGTCTGTGGGGGCCAGGGCAGGCGGGGTGCCAGCTCCCCACCCTCATTCCCCAGCCCTGCTCACTTCCCCATTTGGTGAGTCAGTTGCCGTCTGCCCCATCCCTCGTGGACACAGACCCTGCATTATGTCCCCCTTTTTTCAGCTGAAGCTTCCTACCCTTCCCCCTTCATGACCTCCCTGTCCTGCCCTCAGCATGACAGTTGCCCTGCCCTGAGGGGTCTGGGTGGGGCCATCCCCATCTCACTCTCCTGGGGCCCAGCTCTACTTGGTGCTGCCGATGCCTCTTGGGGAGGCTTCTCCATTGGGCTGGCATTGCCAGGAACCCCCATCCTAGCAGGCCCCATCCAGGTACTGCAGGCTGCTGGTGGCTCTGCGGAAGGCGCTTGGGGAGGAGGGCTCAAGCCAGACTGTTCTTGGGGCAGCCTCCCGTTGTACTCAAGGGGTCCGCTTTGGTCCTGGAATGTGGGGGGTGGGGGGCGACTGCACATGTTGTGACTGCCTGGCCAGTGCTCCCATGCTCTGTATCTCAAGATCATGCAGCCAAAGGCCATCCAGAGGGGCAGGGCAAGACGCTTCGCCTGTTCCAGGCCCTGCTGGCCTGCATGCTCAGAGCAGAGCTCAGGGGATCAGCCCAGCTGGTCCTCAACTTCCAAGCCACCAGGGCCCCCTAGTCCTCGGGGCTGACACCTCACACACCTCCTAAGAGCTGAAAGCCTCTGTTCTGCCCGACCGCTAGGGCACAAGAGCATATGGCAGCTGCCCAGCCCCACTGCTGGTTACCTGACCTTCACCCCCGCGGCTCCCAGGTGTTCTGCCTCCTTGCCCACCTGGCAGCAGGAAGATGTCCGCCCAAAGACAAGGACACTCTGTGCTGCCTGCTGGCTGCGTCTGGGTGGTGCTTACCCTATGGGACCTGGCTCTAAATATACCCGCGTGAGGTCACCAGGATGAGACCCGTCGGTGCCAGACCTGGTCCCTGCTCACTGTCTGTCGAGCCATCTCACCTCAGATCACCTCCTGCTGATGCCTCTTAGATGTGCTCACAGACACGGCCCCACAAGGAACACTGCAGGGAAGTCTGTCACCCCGGAGCACGTGGGCCCATGTGTGGAGGGGCAGCTTGGCAAGCTGCACTGTGGCCTCTCATTTGGCTGTAGTCACTGGGCACCTTTACACCTGGAGGGGACATCGAGACCTTGGTGCTGTAACACACACAGTTGGCAGGCTAACTCCCCGAGGCTCCTGTGTCCTGGTCCCTGGAGCCAGCTCCTTCCATGGCAGGAGACTGTGGGGATGTGTTGAGATGGAGAGAGGAGCTGAGATCATCCCGGCAGGTCAGAGACGAAGCGAGGACTTGGCTACATGGCTAGACTGAAGATGCAGGAAGGGCCCAGCTGAGGAATAAGGGCCACCTCCAGAAGCTGAGCACGGCCTTCAAGTGACAGCCAGTGAGGAAATGGGGACCTCAGCCCCACAGCCACAGGTGCTGAATCCCTCCACCACCTGACCGAGCAGAGACTCAGACCCTCCCTCCAACCCCACAGGCCCAGCTCCGCCCGTGACACCTGCCTCCAGCAGGTGAGACCCTCACCCACTTCTGTCTGCCCAACTGAGAGAGAATAAACGCACGTTGTTTAAGCCGCTAATGTGTGATGGTTTGTTCTGGCAGCAACAGGAAACCCACAGCACACAGTCCTGTGAGAACAGGGGGTAGGCAGGGGAAGACAGGCTGATCACCAGCCCCACCTGTCAGGATGCGTTTCTCTGCTTATGCTTGGTCAACCCAGGTCATGTCTCAGGAGGGCTATCAATGCAGCAGCCTCATCTGTAGTGGCTGGGGAAGCGCACCCTGGTGTCCCTGGGATGAAGGGCTGGGCCAGGTGTATATGCACGCTGGTATATGCAAGGGTGCTTCTGTAATCACACAAGGAGATGGTTGTGGTTGGCTAAGGTGGTTGTGGGGAGAGTACTCTTCACTGTGTGCCCTTTAATGCCACTTTAATTTGTATCATGTGCCTGCACAACCCAGCTGTAGCTGAAAACCAATTTGAGTGCATGTCGGGGAGAGGCAGGTGCTGTGCTCACTGCAAATCACAGGGGTGTAGCAGGGGCCTCCTGTGTCCATGCCTCTCCCCAAACGAGCCCTCCTTGCCCTGCCACAAGCCCCCAGAATCCTGCAGCTGCTGGAGATTATTGTTGAGTCTGTGGGAGCTTTTTATATATAGTAGATCCAAGTCTTTTCACTGGGTGCTTGTTTTGTCAGCATTTTTCCCCCAGGCTATGACTTGCCTGCTCACTGACAGTAGCTTTTACTAAGCAGAGCTTCTTAATTTTGATGAAGTCCTGTTTGTCGGTATTTTTTTTCTGTGGTTAGTGCTTTGGGGCCCCTGAGAAGTCTTTGTGTACCCTAAGACTGCAAAGGTGTTCTCCTCTGCTGCTTCTAAAAAGCTTTTTAACTTTCACATTTCAATTTGTGTTCGTTTCTAATTAATGTTTGGTGTTTGATGTAAATTGAATCACACAGTATGTGTGTGTGTGAATTTTCACTCAGCGTTGTTATGATTCATCCTTGTTGATGGAGCTGTGGCTCATTCATTCCCATTGCTGTGCGGGTTCCTCTGGAGTCAACTGCAGTTGAGTCCTTCCACTCTCGGTGACCCTGTGTGTTGTGACCCTGACCCCTTGTGGCCAATGTGGTCACAGTGCCATGGGTCTTCTCGTTCACGTCTCCCAGTCCACAAAGCAGCCATTCTCTTCAGGGGCGAGGTCCTGGTCGTGATCAGGGGCTTTGGTGGAGACAACGGCCTTTCTGGACCCGTGTCTTCATCTGCAAAATGGGATGATGGTAATTGTAGCACCTACCCCACAGGTGCTCGTAACAACTGAAGGAGTAAACACAGGTCAAGTGCTTAGAGCAGGGCCAGCTCATAGCAAGCATGGGACAGGGGTGGCCTCGCTGGGTCCTGGGGTCTGTGCGTGCTCAGCTTCACCAGGTAAAGCCACGCTGGTTCCCGAGGTTGGCTGCACCCTCGCCACCAGGTATCCCACATGTCGTTTCTACCAGGTTCCTGTGTATCAGTCAGTGGTCTTAATTTGCATTTTCCTGATTACTAGGGAGACAGAGCCTCTGCTTACTGGTGTTGAAATGTTTTGATCCTGCTTTAAAAAATGTTTTGAGATAAGTTAATGAAAGTGAAACAGCTAGAACAGAAATAACAAGAGGGTTGGCACAGTGTGAAGAACGTAACCAGTCATTGATCATTATGTTTAGAAACTGGAGTGAGAGCAGGTTTAGCTGTGTGTATTTTCATCAAAAATAAATATTAATTAAAATGAAAAAAATTTTTTTGAGATAAAATTTACCATTTTAGCCATATAAAAGTACAATTCACTGGTTTTTAGTCCATTCATAGTGTTGTGCAACCATCACCACAATCTAGCTCTAGAATATTCAGTCACTCCAAGGAGACTCCTCCTCCTCCCCTCTCAGCCCCTGCAGCCCCCACTCCATATCCGTCTCTATGGATTTGCCTGTCTGGTCTGGGCAGTTCATATAATCTGCCGACTTTTTCACAAGGTTACATGTTCCTTGTGGCCATCTTTTCACGCTGTCTTGGGCTCTTTGGAAGATCTGGATTTCAGTATAATCAGTGATTGGTTTATTGCACATTCATCATTCCTTTAGGTTTTGTGCTTTTTATTTGATAAAGCCTTTGGTCCCCCTACCCTAAATCAGATGGCAGAGATGGCACACACAGCCTGTGTACATGATAACTGCATGCAGGCAGGGGTGTGCCTGGGTCCCAATAAGCCAACTGCCAGGTAGAAGCTGGGAGATGGGGAGCACTGGGGGGCCGTGTTGGCCCTTGGGGGCAGGTGGGGGCTTGGGTGCCGCTGGCTCTGCTTGCTCTGGGGGAGGGTTGGGGAGCAGGGGCAGGCACTGACAGCGGTTCTTGTCTTACAGATCCGGAACATGGTGGCGGTGCTGGAAGTCATCTCCAGTCTGGAGAAATACCCCATTACCAAAGAGGCGCTGGAGGTGGGTGCTGCTGCTGTCCTGGATGTGTGGGAGCGGGGCCCTGTGGCAGGTCTCAGGCTCCCCACTGTATCCTCCCTAGCACTGCTGAGCCCCCAGACTTCTCCCAATGAGTTAGGAGGTTTGTGGAATATGCCTTATTGGCCTTATGAGAACTGTGAGGTGCCATCCCCTCAGAGACCTCAGGGTGCCAGTGTGCTCCCAGAGTTGTCCCATAAGGCACTGAAGGGACTGGGTGCTCTCACCCCAGGGACAGGTAGGGTGGTTCCTGGCCCATGGAACTGCACACCTGGGGTGGTCCTTTGCTCAGCGGAAGCCCTCCGCTGGAGGACCAGGTCCTTGGGTGGCCATGGCTTCGCCATCCAGAGCCTGTGGGCCCCAAGGAACGGGGTTGGAGGTGGAGCTGTCACAGAGCTCTAGTGTTAGGGAGGCCTCTCCCAGGCCAGGTGCCCCACCCTGCCTCTCACCATCCACTATGTTGCAGGAGACACGGCTGGGGAAGCTCATCAACGACGTCCGAAAGAAGACCAAGAACGAGGAGCTCGCCAAGCGGGCCAAGAAGCTGCTCCGGAGCTGGCAGAAGCTCATTGAGCCTGTGCACCAGGGTGAGGCGGCACTGCGGGGGCTTCCTGGCACCGCCGGCTCCGCCAACGGGGGTGCCCACAACTGCCGGCCAGAGGTAGGGGCGGCTGCCGGGCCCCGGAGCATCCATGACCTAAAGAGCCGCAATGACATCCAGAGGCTGCCCGGGCAGCGGCTGGACAGGCCGGGCAGCCGCAAGCGCCGGGGAGACCAGCGTGACCTCGGCCACCCTGGGCCACCACCCAAGGCCGCCAAAGCCAGCCATGAGCCTCTGGCCCCCAACTCATCCCCCCTGCCCACCAATGGGATCACCGGGAGCCCCGAGAGCTTCACCGGTCCCCTGGACAGCAGCGGGCACACGGGCCCTGAGGGCAGCCGCCTGGAGCCTGGCGAGAATGACAAGCACAGTGGCTGGATCCCAGTCAATGCTGTGAGGCCGCACACCAGCTCGCCTGGCCCAGGCCTGGGGGCCAAGACCGCCTCACTGCAGCCGCTGGACAGGGTGGACGAGACTCCAGGCCCCCCACACCCCAGGGGGCCTCCCCGCTGCTCCTTCAGCCCTCGGAACTCACGGCACGAGGGCCCCTTCGCCCGGCAGCAGAGCCCATATGTGCCCAAGGGCTCAGTGCCCAGCCCCTCACCGCGGCCCCTGTCGCTGGAGGCCACGCAGGCGCCTTCACCTCTCCCGCTGGCCCAGCCCCCCACGCCCCCTGTCCGGCGGCTGGAGCTTCTGCCCAGTGCAGAGAGCCCAGGGTGCTGGCCTGACCAACCCGAGGGCCACCAGCGGCTGGCAGGGCCTGGCTGCAAGGCGGGGCTGCCGCCGGCCGAGCCGCTGCTGCTACTACCACGAGCAGGCCTATCCCCAGACTCTTCCAGGGCGGACAGCGATGCCGCCTCCTCGGGTGGCTCGGACAGCAGGAAGAAGAAGCGGTACCGGCCACGTGACTACACAGTGAACTTGGACGGACAGGGGGCTGAGGCAGGCGTCAAGCCTGTGCGGTTAAAAGAGCGCAAGCTCACCTTTGACCCCATGACAAGACAGATCAAACCCCTGACCCAGAAGGAGCCTGTGCAGGCCGAGAGCCCTGCGCGCACCGAGCCACCCCGGACCGAACTGGACGCGCAGGAGCCAAGGGGCGGCCTGCAAAGCCCCTTCGAGCAGACGAACTGGAAGGAGCTGTCACGCAATGAGATGATCCAGTCCTACCTGAGCCGGCAGAGCAGCCTGCTGTCATCGTCAGGCGCGCAGACACCAGGCGCGCACCACTTCATGTCGGAGTACCTGCGGCAGGAGGAGAGCGCCAAGCGGCATGGTGCCCACGAGACACATGTGCTCGCGCCACACAGCCCGCCTGCAGACTTGCCAGGGCACACACGTGAGATCACACAGGATGATCTGGAGCGCATCCAGGCCCACCAGTGGCCGGGTGTGAACGGGTGTTATGACACACAGGGTACCTGGTATGATTGGACGCAGTGCATAGCGCTCGACCCGCATGGTGACGATGGGCGCCTGAACATTCTGCCTTACGTCTGCTTGGACTGACCGCCTGATGGGCGGTGGGTGGGTGTGGAGGCCCAGGGAATGTACCTGGGGTTGGGCGGGTGCCCCCGTGCTCTGCCCTCGAGATTCTCCTTCTTTTGTGAAATGCTGCTACCAGTTTACTAACAAACTTGCATAGGAAGGACTGCGGGAAGGACGGCAAAGCGAGTTCCAAGCGCTCCAGCATCCAGCTAGACGGAGTGCCGTTCCCGCCTGGAGACAGTGCAGACACCCCGGCCACACGGGCTGGGCGCAACTGCAGGCAGGCACAGAACACTTGTGGAAGAAGTTACCTTTAACAGAACCGAGAGCACGCGTCTTATTTATTTGCATTTGTTTGTGTTGTCATTTGGCCCTGAGGTGTCTGGGAGGGTGAGCAGGAGCATGGCCTTTGTACACTGTGCGCTCAGTCTAGCCCAATCGCTGCTGAGCCTTGTTTCCAGCCCCCTGGGGCCAGATGGCATGGGGCGGCCAGCCCACTGGCCTCCAGTTTGACCCCACGTTCCCCAGGCAGCCACACGTTTTTATCTGGTTTCAGTTACAATCTTGTTTCTAAAGAAATGCTGCAAAAATTTATTGTTTGAAGAGTTCATTTTCTCCCGTTTCATCTGACCACCAGCCAAACAACTTTCCTTTCTTTCTCTTATCCTTTTCCCCTTCCTGCACATATCTAAAAGCTCTCATCTTTCTAGAGTGCCCCACCCAAAAAGCCCCACAGAAGTCACTGCGGGTGCTACTGGGGTGTGCACTGTGCTGGGCAGAGGTGGCCTGTCTGGGCTGGAAACACTCGTGACCATTCCTTTAGAGTTGTTTGCCTTATGGTTATCTGTCAGAAACGCGATTTGCAAAAACAAGGAGCCTTAGTGAATGTACAGTACCTAGACTTCTGGGTCCCCAGGACACAGAAGGGGCAACTTTGCTATTTGGTCCAGTAAGTGGACACCTTGTGATATAAACGTGGAAATAAAAAAAAAAAAACATTTGCACAAACCAGCCTGGGAGTCGTTTCTGATTTGGTCCTTTGCAGCCAAGCCAGCTCCTCACAAACGTCCTTTTTTGGAATCTGAATGAGCCAGAAGGCTTGGCCCCACCTCTGAGGTTATGGCCCCCCAGCCAGAGTGGGAGGTGGGGCAGGTGCTGGCAGAAAACTGGCCATCTGCTTTCTGCTTAGAAACTGATGTTTCCCCCTCCGCAAAGCCACATGGTACCCCTCCCACCTCTGGGGTCACCTGCTAGATTTGGGTGGCTGACCTAGGGCCACGTGGAGACATGCTGTCCTGTCTCCATCCACACCCACCTGCCCAGACACCTGGAAGCAGGCTCAGGACCAGGTCTCGGTGAGGACACCAGGGCAGGAGACCAGACAGGCCTCTCTGTGAGCATCTCCTTCACTGCCCCTCCCCCCCCCCCAGATCAGAACAGAGGGAAGGAGGCTGTCATCTGGAAAAGTCAGAATCTGAAGGGGAAAAGGTATGACAGCCCCTTCCCCAACTTGTGGTCTTTCCCCCAAACGTACTAGGTACACCCAGAGGCTGAGCTGCCCACCGCTTGGCCAGGCCCCAGTCTGCCTTAGTACCTGGCTAGTGTGTCCACTGTTTTTTAAGCACCTTTTTGTTCTTCCTCCTCATTCCTGAAACCCTAAGAAGCCAAGACTTCAGTTTTCTAGATTTTTTTATTCTGGAATAGGTTATCTTGTCCATGTCTACTAATCTTACAGATGAGCACTCAGCTCCCTTTAAGAGGGACAGCCCCACAGTGCCCGCCCAGGAATGTTCCAGCCATTAGGACCCCAGCCAGCCCAGAACCCAGGTTTCAGAGCCATTAGGGATTTCCAATGTCGGTATGGTGCACTGCTGCCTACTAGCTGCATGGCTCTGGGCCAGTCAACTCGTGCACACACGTCCCCACTTGGAGGACAAGAGTGCCTACCCCAGAGTTGTGAGGGCTCCAACGATGAAAACTGAACACACCACATAAGACTGCTGTGAACCTCAGCGGTGCTACCGAAAGCCTGTAATTAGGTTCCTAAACCCACTGTGCTTGTCTTCTCACCAGACATGGGGGCGAGGTGCTGCCCGCGCCAGTGCCCTGCGAAAGTAGTATTACTCTAACAAAGGGTCGCAGGTGTAGCTGGAGGATATTGGGGTGCGGAGGTTGGCGCCCCAGGAGCATCTCCTCGTCCTGGGCTTGAGAATGTGCCTTTGCTCCCCCGCCCCCACCCACAGGGTGTCCTGAGCACCCAGTAAGCCCCACGGTACAGGTATTTCCCGGCTTTGAGAATGCAAGGATAAGCTACGATTCCCCGCAACATTTTGAGGATCAAGTTGAAGTTGCCACTCCTAATTCGCCAAGTAAAGACGCTGCAAAAGAATTTTAACCAGCCCTCCCCCAAGAAATGGCTCGATGCACATGATTTTTGGAACAAATGACCATCATTTTAGTAGAATAATCACTTTTTCTGGAAAACACCGTCTCGCCTCCCTCCGCTGGGGCAGCCGGTTACTCGGGCATCGCGGTCACAGCCGGCACGTCCCGGCCTGCAGAGCCTGCAGCCCGATGGGCCCACGAGGTATGCCGGGGAGACTGCCCTCTCCGCCTGCGGCCGCCGCTACCTACCGCAGGGGGCCTGACGTCTGGGCAGCGGCGCCCGGACATCCTCCGGAGACATCCGTCCCGGTCTGCAGAAAGAAAGGGCGCTGTCACAACCGCCCCTCCCGCCAATAAGCACCATCACCGCCGCTCGCCGTCGGCGCCACTCTCGGGACCCGCTGCCCACCTTCCGCTTCCGGCCTCTGCCCCGCCCTCACCGGAAGTCCCCCAGGAAGGGCGGGGTCTGCACTCGCAACGTGGTGGTGGGCGCGTAGGCCGGCGCGTGGGCGGGGACGTCAGCGGCGGCGGCCAACAGGAAGCGGCGTTGGCAGCGTGTCCCGCCCCAGGCCCGGCCCACGCGTTGCCTTTTC